TTTTTTAATATATACCTCATATTAAAATATGTATTCAATTATTTTTTTAGATTTTTATCTTCATTAGTTTCCTAGATATAAATTTTTTAATATTTTCAATTTATTTTATTTCGTAAATGTTTAATTGAACATAACTTCTGTTTAAATGATTAAAAAACAAAGAATAACCGCATCAGATTAATTAATTTTCATTGATTAACTCAAATATCTCTTGAACAGTGTATTTAGGGAAAAATGTTTCAAAAGTTTTAGAACTTTGAGGGGGACATAAGATAGTGCCATTAGTTTGACCTTAGGTGGCATTGACAAGATCAGGCCAAGGTCACGTTAAATTTTTTTTAATGGGACCCCCCATTTTTCATTAAATATTCTTGTAGTTAACCTCGAGAGTTTTTCAAAACAATATAATAAAATATTTTTCCATGAAGTGCATTTCGAGTTATAAAGTTTGAAAGTTACAATACTGCCGGCATTAGTATTACGCAATGTGTGACGATTAAAACCTCTTATTGTTCAGGATTATGTTCTGGATAACATTTGTTAAGATCAAGGTCATTGGAGATTGTTTCTCTTATTTTTTACATAAAAATGAGTTTTCAATGTAAAAATGAAATAAAAAAATGGAAATAAAAAAATTTTTTTAATTAATAAATAGTTAAAATGATCAGAACTCTTCGAAAAGCATTATAATATATTCAGAACTACACGAGAATTACCATAGACTATCAGAACTATTTAAAATCGGACAGCGTCTCATCTTCGTTCCCATAAAGACCATTTTTGAGGGGAAAAAAATTATTTAAAAATCAAAATAACGATATTACTCGTCAGAACTCTCTTTAGAATTATGTATTTTTTCAAATTCTAGAGAAACTGTGTTCTTCGTTAAACAAAATTGGCGCGGTGTGTATAGCATCTCATTTTGTATTTTCGGTTTCTTGGCTTTAATAGTCGAAACTATTTGTTTAACCTATATAGAACTATTGAAAATAAACTCAGAATTCTCAACATTTAATGTTTCCATCGAGTGAGACGCCAGCTTCATGCATATCCAAATGTACCCATCATAGTGGCTAGGCGCGCGGAGAATTGTTTTCTTTTGCTGCCATGCATAACTCGTAACTATTGCCATTTGTAAATAAATCCCCATGCAGCTAGCTCACTTCTAATAGATATGCATTTGGTAGTACAGTCGAATGTAAAAGGAGAGCAACAGTGTAAACGAAATTTCTAGAATGCAAAAACAAGGAAACGTAGAAAAAGCGCAAAACATCTCTTTTAAAAATATTTCGCTATTTCAATTTTTACCTCCTAGAAATTTCATTTATACTTGTTACTCTCCTCTTACATTCGACTTATGTTCCAATTTTTATTTTCTGCTTATAAGTACAATTATCGCAATAATTAACGAGATATTAATTTCTAAAGATCAACGAATCTTATTTGATAATCTTTAGACATTAATATCTCGTTAAGTATTGCGACAATTGTAAAATGAGACTTTTCGACTCAGTTTGATACGCTCTATTCCTGCCTATAAGCGGTGTGTTTGGGACACTGTAGAATCTGCTGACTAAAACTTCGAAAATTTGGAAAATTGGCAATGGTGGCGCGTCGCAACAGTCACGAATAGCAGGGCTGAAAAGCATAAGAGAGGATTTCCCATGAGATGCGGACACGCGGAAATGAGGATCTGCAGAAATAAGAAATTGACGAAACGAATTTCTATCAACATTTCGCATATTCCGCTTCGCTCAAATGTGTGTGCTTCCGAAAACTCAAGTTCGAGTTAGTTCCACTAGGACCGAAAAATATGATAGATGTAACTACTTAATACCTTCATGACTCATGAACTATCTAGTACCTTCATGACTCATGAACTCACCTTAACATTGTCTGTATATTATGTTTTAGTTAAAAACGACTTTTTTTGCTTCAATAATTTTTTTGTGGACTAACTCGATGAAAAAAAAATCGTACACAGCTTCATAAAAAAAGCAATTTAAAGGTAAAGATTCACTCTTTCAAATGCTGTAAATCGTATATTTGTGTACAATTTTTAATTCACGCCGTGGAACTATACAAATTTCGTAAAAAAATTTTAGATTTGATACATCTTCATTTATGTTTGTGTAATTCCATAAAACATCAGTAAGACTGTTTTCTAAAATACAGATCTGAAATACAGATTTCAAGCTGTAAAATGCTTTTTTAAATATCTCGATATGATGACGATTCTTCTATCTTAAAATTTGCCTATTTTTACAGAATGGAACAAGTGACTCTTTAATTTTGTTGAGTGGTATATTATATATATGCATTAATAAAATATAGGTACTATAATTAAATTTCTATTAAATTATCTTGATTTCGGCGATGCATGTAAACATATACATGGTATGTGTATTTAATTAATCATTTTAGAATTAATTAATCATTCTAGAATTGGAAAATGATAAGGAATAAGTTGAACCTCGGTTAAAAGGTACAACTTAATCCCCTTATCTCTTTCTAATTCTAGAATGATTAATTAATTCTAAATCATCGAGTTAATCGTGAACTATGAAACCTGGGCCTAAAGCACTAATGTAGCAAAAGGAAAATGCAGAGAAACGTTCGTTTGTTTATGCGCTTCGGTCAGTTTGATCCCTACGCGACTACTGAAAAATTAAAGTTAATCTTAAATTGGTAGAACTGCGCGTGAATAAATCTCGCTGTTTACGGAGTTCTTTCTGTATGCACTTTCTGCAACTTTTAGCCTGCCTCTTTTTTACCGTAAAATCCGAGATCTGTTTCTTGCGTTATATTACTGGATTAGGGAAAGTCTTTTTAAAAATTGATAAGACTTTTTAGCAATCCATATATTCTACTTTTAAAAAATTGGCAATTACACCACTTGGTAGAGCAACGTTTCAGCCTTAAGAATCTGTATTTTTAATTATGATACGATGATTCATAATGGAGTTATGAGCAATAAAGTCAGAATGGTTCTTTTTACTTAATCCGCAAACTCAGAAACACAAAATTGTAGAAACATTTTTTAAAAACGATTTTGTAAGGAAAACTTCAAGCTTTCACGATATATAGTCGAAAATTTGCTCAAATTTTTTGAGCACGCTATAGTTCTAAAATTTATTTTTTTTTCAGCTCATAGTTTTTTGTATGTAAAAATTACCAAACTCACGTAAATTCGAAAAATATAGTAACCATTCAAAAATAGAGATTTCAAGCTTTAAAATTCTTTTTCTAAATTTAAATTTTGATCATGTTTAACAAAGATATTGATGAGGAAAGATCTTTTTAACAATTTGTAAAGGGACTTTTTCCTTAATCCAATATATCTTCTCTCTATATTTAAAATAAAATAGATATATGATTTCACGTCGAAGAAAAAGAGAACAATAAATTCTCTTGCAAAGAACATTGTATCCACTTTGTTTGAAATATGCAGCCAAGTACAATAGGGCAAGTAAATCCGCGGAGAAGTGGGGCAAGACGATCAGCTGGAGATCCTCTCAGCTACTTTCGGCCTCTTTCCTTCTCTCTCTTTCTCTCTCTCTCTCTCTCTCACACACACACCACACCGCGCACACGTGCACGCACACACTCTTTCACTCACTCACTCACTCTCTCACTCTTATTATTCTCTTTGCGATTCTCGTCTCATATGTTTTTGCAGAACTGGAAATGTAATACCGCGATCGATCTCTGCGCAGAAAAGAGTGCTAATCGCAACTCTTGTCAATCGCTCGTGCAAGTAAGGCGCATTTTCGCGCAACTCCTACTAAAATCCGAAATCAGCTCCAAACTGTACTCGATTCTACGTCTTTTTTTTTTTCATTTTCAGAAGAGAACGAAAAGACGCAAGGCTTCACGGCGCGGCTTCAAAGACCAGAGCTTCGACGTATAGAATTTCTCCGGGAGACGAAGACTTCCGTGATAAATTTCGCCTTAATGCCTGGAGAGGAGAACGCGAGGTGACGATGATTATTCGCTTCATTCGGCACATTCCGAGTACCCGGCACAGCGCTCACCGCTCAGCACTTACCGTCGACTCTCTCCGACTCTCTCGGCTCGGCTTGACAGGAAACTTGTGAAAATTATGATAATACGACCGGCTCTCGCGTTTACGAGAATCCGTACCAGATTATCGGCGGCCGATTGTTAATTCCTGTTTGTCTACCCTTCCGTCTCACGCTTCGCCAATCGGAGGATACTGGCAACATGGCGTCGCGGCGCGCAGTCGGAGCAGCGCGCACGGAAACGGAAGGGCGGGTACTTCTTGTAGCCGCATCCGCATCAGGCCGCATTACGTAAAGCTCTAAAGTCGGGAGCACATAGAAAAACGTAAGACCGTAAGACGTAATCAGTAAGAAAATCGTAAGATTGGATTCGCTACTGGCCTTACGGTCTCTACTGTGATTGGGCAATTTGCTTACTGATTACGTTTTACGGCCTTACGTTTTTGTACGTGCCAGGGGCTTAAGCAATATGATTTTAATTTGTACGGATTAGTAACACTGGCCTAATTTCCATCGAGGATTTAAACCGTATCAGAATGTAAGAACCAACCAACTATAGTTGAGTATTCCCTCGTTAAGCCCATGGCGCATACAAAAACGTAAGACCGTAATACGTAAGCAGTAAGCAAATTGGCCAATTACAGTAGAGACGGTAATGCCAGTAGCAAATCCAATCTTACGACCTTTCGTTTTTGTATGTTTCATGAGCTTTACAGTTGAACGACAGAGGAATGCTCGACTGTAGTTGATTGGTTCTTACACTCTGATCCGGTTTAAACCCTCGGTGGAAACTAGGCCACTGTTACTAATCCGTACAAATTAAAATCGTGTTGCCTAGGGGTTTTTCTTAGTACCAACATTTTCCAATCTATTTTTCTGGAAAATGTCATGTAACCCATACGTGGAACAATACATACCTCTAAGGTCGGTATTCATAGTCGATTCTTAAATTCAAGACCGTCTTAAGTATAGTCTTAAGATGTCATGAACCAATCAGAGAGCCGCATTAGCGTCTTAAGACATTACTTAAAACGATCTTGGAGTAAGAATCGACTATAAATACCGGCCTAACGTACGTTCGAAGAGACTCTATTGGCTCTTCTACATTAAATGCGAAAAGGCTTACCACGCGACAAAATGAGACGCGGTAACCAATGACTGTGTTCAGCAGAACGTTTATTTTGCAACTGTTGGAAGTTTTCTTCGCGCTGATTGGATTATGTTTTAGATCAAGAGGAACGATCCTATCTTAGCAGACAATCATAAAATGGTTGTTGTTTTGCTAAACGCTGCTATTAAACACATTAATGGCTCCTGCACACTGAACGCGGAAACATTTGCCGCGCGGCAAATTGTGATACGATAGCCAATAAGCCTTCAGCTTCTAATGTGTTCATTGATTGCTGCGTCTCATTTTGCCGCGCAGCAAGCGTTTTCAGTGTGCAAAAGCCATATGTTCCATCACACTCCTACCATATCTCTTATTCATTTTAATGGTGCACTAAACATGGCGGCTCCGGGTGAATCCGCTCCACTTTCTTTTGATTTTCTCTGATTTATTCTATCTTTGTTTTATGTCTAATGCCTATAAGCAATAATCGACGAGCGAGATCCAATAAGAGCTTTGCTTTGCATCGTCACGTGAGAAACAGCAGAACTTTTATTGAATATCGCTCGTCATTTATCGCTCATCGCATCCAGTGTGCAGTAGGCATAATAAATAACAAAGATAGAATGATGGCTTCTGCATACTGGACGCTTGTCGCGCGGCAAAATGCAACACGGTAACCAATGAACATGTTAGGAGCTGTAAACTTATTGGCTGCCGCCTCACATTTTGACGCGCGGTAAATATTTCCGCATTCAGTATGCAGGAACCATAACAAAAGCGCTAATAGCGTATTTTATAATTTTAATTTATCATCTCCAGCCTTGAAAAGTGGACGATGTACCCTAAGAAAAGTGGATGTTGCTATGTAGTTTACATTCACTTTGTCAGAAGGCAGTAGTGCGCAACATTTTGCGGTTACAAGTTTTGGGCCGTCACGTCCTCTCTCTGGTTTCTTTCTATTTTCAGCGTCAAAATAGATTATGTGATCAAAATTGACGCTTTCAAGATACAATTTCATGATGCAGATACTTTTTTATACTGACGCTCAATGCTCGATTTGAGCGTCATAATATTAAGGTACTTTTTCATGCCGACGCTCATTTCCGGCGTCAAAATAAGTCACGTGATAAAAATCGACGAATAACAAGCGTCAATTTTGATCATGTAACTTATTTTGACGCTGAAAATAAGCATCGAGCATCAGCATGAAAAGGCACCTTTAGGTAAAAACCCGGCCTAAGTTTCAGAGTCCCTATTCTTGAAAAAAAAAAAACCGTATATGAAAGTCTAAGAAAATATTACAGTATACGTTACGTATACTACAGTATTTTCCTAAAATATTGTATACGTTTCTTTTCAAGAACCAGAGGCCCAGAGGTAAAATTTATTATTTAACCAAAATTGCATAATATGAAGGGGTCTATCATAGGGCAATCATAATTTTCGTCCAGATAGAAGCACGTCAGAGATTTCAAGATCAATTTCATTTTTTAAAATGAAATTATGTTTTTTTACATAATATGATTTTTCTAGTTATTCTGCGTACAAAAGTATTAAGATAAAAATATCAAAAAATTAATAGTTTACGATATTTTCATGATACTTTATTCTGGTACATATTGACATAAAACGTTCGTACATAAAATAATTCGTAAATTAATAATTTTTTTATAATCGTATCTTAATACTTTTATGAAAAGAATAATGAGATGAATAAATTGGTATAAAGAAAATACATAGTTGCTTTAAAGAGAGAGATATAGCTGCAAAATGGATGAATAACTATGTATTTTCTTTATCCCAATTGATTTATCTCATTATTTTCTTCATAAAAGTATTAAGGTATGATTATCAAAAAATTAATAATTTACGAGTTATTTATCATTTTATGTCAATATGTGCCAAAGTAAAGTATACAATATTTAGTAAACTATTGATTTTTCAATACTTTTACCTCAATACTTTTAAAATAATTAGATGAATCGTATTACATAAAATAAATCATATAATTCCATTTAAAAAAATAAAGTTGATGTTGAAATTTCTGAAGCGCCTCCTAGACAAAAATTATTATCGCCATATGATAGAGCCCTTCATACCGCCATTATTAGTAGTGCAATTTTGGTTATACAAATTTCCTATAGACTTTATAGATTCTAAAATATTTCAGGTGCTAATAATTATTGGGACACTCTGTATATACACAATATAATTTTGACCCTCAGTTATATAACAGTTTAATAATTTTTTTTAATGAGCAATAGTTTAATTAATTTTTTAAAAAAAGAATTGGCATTATATTGAGCAATAGTGTCCACAGCTGAATACTTTTTTATAAATTTTTGCAATATATTTCGAAGAACCTTTTTGTTTGATATAATACAATTGCATAAATCCTAAATATGACCTCTAGACAATCAATAATATTTTATGATACCAAATATTGTACAAAGATATTCTTAAGTTAAAACGTACTTGTATGAATAAAAGCTTAATTTCAGTTCTGTGTATATAATTTGTATATTGAAAACAATCCTACTTAGGGAAAAAAATTTAATTTCTAACTTGCTGTACCACAGACTGAATACTTTATGGCGTTATGTTTATAAGCAGTTCAATATTTTTAATTGGTTCAACATGTATGATAAAAAAACTTATACCTAGAAAGATATCATATAACTTATATTTATTAAAACACATATCTATCGGATTATAAAAATGTCTATTTGAAAAAAAGATTTAATCTTGTTTAAATATACTTTGACAATATTCCAAAAGTGTATCTACTCCTGCTTTGTTTCTGAAATTCGGCCGACAGCTATACAATTTTTGATGCAGTAGCTCAGGATAGATTTGTGCAACACGCTTTAATGCATCTGGAAAAACAGTATTAAAACTGTAAAAAATGTATTGAAATATATTAAGAGTTACATATTAAATATATTAAGAGTTACAGTTAAAATAAAAATTATGATTTATCTTGAAAAATGCGCCAGAATAGAGATATACGAACTATTTGAAAATTTTCAATCTGACAATAAGATATTCGAAAAATAAATTACATACGAAAAATAAATTACAAATAGTAAGTTTGGTTTACAGTTTGACCCTCTAGAACCCATTCAGTCATCACGATGCCGTTGATGTCGAAAAAAACGATTAGCATGGCTTTAAATTTTGATTTCGACATCCTTGCTTTTTTGGTCATCTTCGGTGCTCTCTCGGCCTTTAGAAAATTCGTTTATACCATTCGAAAACACGCGCACGAGATAGAGAATTCTCACCATAGGCCTCTTTCAACAACTTATAGCACTCAGTCGGAGTTTTTTTTAATTTAACGAGAAATTTCACATTGATCCATTGCTCGTGTTTTTCGTCACACATTGTTATCGGCACGAGAAAAAAACAAGTTCGTTTCTAATCTCTATAGAAAAAATACTACTACTGCGACAAAAACGTGTTTTCGTACGGAATAGTAGACACTTCCAGCTATCCAACGCTGCATTCGTTTCCCACTCTACCCCTCTAGGACGCCATCTGCGCGCGCAGTCTCGTTATTTAATAGCCAGACCTCATATATTGATAAGCTTATACACATACGCACGCAGAAAGGGGGAGAAAGAAAGAAAGATATACACATACATGTATGCACACACACATGCCATATAAATTCAATCAGGCAATCTACACGATACGCCTTAGATAATGTCGGGAATACCGTAACTTTCAAATCTCATAAATTGACCTCTGTTGAGGACAACTGTAAAAATACGCAATAAAAAAGATTAAGGTTTACATTTAAAAGTTTTAAGGTGATTTATTTATGTAACAATGGTATCCAAGGCTACTTTATTATTACTATGTAATGCGCTATTTAAAACCCTATAACTTTTGTATGAAATATTTCTTTCAGAAACGTTAATTTTTTTAGGATATTTAAAAAGTCCATTTTTCGTATATCCTGTATATATAATGCCTGCCAAAAGTTTCGGGTCGACTAAATATCTCGGAAAATTTTGGAGAAAAATGTTTTATAGACAAAAGTTGTAGGTTTTAAAAAGATCTATTTAATTATCTTATCAGTTTGACCGTGGG